GATGGCGGACGACTCATCTATAACCCTATCGGCCTTGGGAGCCTCCAATATCGATGCGCGAATCCCGTCCAGCATAGCACTCTTGAATGAAGCCCTTTTCGAAGTCAATTAAATTATGGACGAAAATATTAAATATCAACATGAGAAATTAAACCCTAATCGACGCGGATTCCAAACTATAATCGCGAAACAGCCCGTATAGGCACCGCCTCGATAACGCTCTCCATACCGGGACTCCCACTCCAAATGCCGGTTATCTCCAGCCCAGCAGCTCCCAATAGCTGCCTCCATTGACGTTCTGACCGCTCCATCCCAGACCCAATGCTCATCATCTGGATATCGATCGACGCCTGCAGCAGCGCTGCACCGGTGTCCGGAAGGACAAAGTCCGCAATGATGATGCGCGAATACTCGGTGGTCATGGCTGAGAGGGTATTGACCAGGATCTTGTGGCAAATGTAATCCGGCCAGTCGTGGAAGATAGCACGGAAGTAATAAGCTCTGGCGCCTGTTTTTGCTTTCAAATTTAGCTTTGTGACAGATTGGCTCGGGACACAAACCGTACCTTTCACCGGTTGGGGGTCCAGAAAGCTATACGCCATGGCTTCAATCTCCTCACCGGCTGGTGCGGAAGCGACCACTTTCGGTAGGTCCTGGAGCACGAACCGCCCGGGAACACCTGGGAACTTCTCACGGAAACGAATCAGATCATGGCCTTGGTTTCCGCCGACGTCGACCAGGAATACGGCGCCGTCATGCTCCAGCGCGCCATGCGTGAGCCTCTCAACCGGATACACGTCGAACCACGAAGGTTTGCCCTCTCGTCGACTGGACATGTATGAATTGAATAGTTCCTGGTGGTGCTTGCGTTGAGCGAGCCATTCGAATTGACTTTGCCCTACGGCCCATCGCATTGGAGACCGGGAGTACTCCTTGGGCATGAGGTAGTGGTGCTCGCGGAAGTACTCTGGAAGTCTAGCGAGAGTTGGAACAGTTAGGTCGTATCTGCCGGGGTCATGTCAGTGTAAAGCACAGGCTGATAGGTGATGCTCGGCGCTCATTACATGCATGGAACACCATCACGTCCAATCGGTTGTGTCATTGCTATTGTTTTGTCTGTGGGGAGGTACACCTCTGGTTCGATGCTGGCGCACAGACCCAACGCTGTCATGACTCGCATTAGGCGGACTATACAGATCAGTGGCTAGCCGTAAAGTGTATATTGCATCTCCTCCATACTAATTAGTGCCCTCTCAGCGCCAGTAGACTCTGATAGCTGTGTAGCTGATAGTCCTTTGGCGGGGTCTTCCAGTAACAAGGGGAAAATGTTAAGGTCGATGACGGTACGAAGGGCTGCATTCTGCGGGGGCTATGTAACGCATCAGCCAATTGACAGACAGGCGACAGGCGATTCAGGCCACATTCAATGGCAGGAAGATCTAGGCATACCTGGTAGATTAACCGCAAAACGGTCTCGGTCGGGGTCTCAACTGTGTACTTCAACTGATCAATCAGTCCCAGGAGGCGGTAATGTGACGTTGCCGAACAGGCAGAGTTGCATTCTTGTAATGCAGCATCCTTGATCTCCTCCACCAGGGATAGTAGCGGGGGCGTCGGCAGTTGCGGCTCCATGTTCGCGCAGTTGGAATCGGAATGCATATATGTATACTATGTATGTACGTCCGCTACACCAGGGAAGATGGCCGGAATTAAAACGGTCGCGAGACGGGAGCCCATGGGTTATATGAATCACAAAGCGATAGAGCAAAATCTGCACTACACAGGAGAGTTTGATACGAGGCCATTGTAGAACAGCGAGGCAGGGGCGTAGCGGAACAATTCTCCAGGCAATAATTGACGTCTGCAAACGGCACAGCCGAGTGAGACTTCCGGCCGCAGTTAGGGCACGGCTCCGTTTACCTCCTGTCATTTGGGGGCTATGGAGTTAGTCGAATCCACTCGTCGACTTTGATTTTGCAATAATTGACGCCATGCAGAACCCAAATCCTTATTGTCCGTTGCTAATCAAGGACGGGGGGCATTGGCGAGTCATTTTGGTGACAGGCCCTCCAGACTCTGTGTCATGCTCTCCTTCGGGGTCCCTATTCCACGGAGATTTTATTCATCTTAGACCGTCTTCATACCAGCTGTTGCGACGGATCCGAATAGTATGCGCACTATCGGCACAAGTAGAGTGCTCTATATTCTACCCTATCAATTTCGTACGATTCCCACCACACACCGTCGTCATGCATCCTTACCGACGACTGCTATTAGAGAGAGAAAATGCCCTCGAATCGTCGAGCTGGCCACGGCCACTGTGGGCCAATGCTGACGCCACCGCTACGGCTTCTGTCTCCCGTGGAACCTTTCTCCATCTGGTCTACCCGTGTGAATCGGCGAATACCGATCGCGATCATGGCAGCGTCGATCCAGTGACTAGGCCATAGGCCACTCGGACATATCCGCTAGCCGGAGCACGGAACCATGTCGGGAAGCTGTTGCAGCTGTTGGCACCACTCATCTTCGATTCATATCCAGAACCATACCCCCTTTCGACAGGGGTGACAAGACAATAGAGGTCATGCGCAATCTGTAGACGATGGCAGCCCGATTGCACCGTCCATTACCCATGACCCCTGATCATGTTAAGATCCAGTCGCGTTCAATCTGTGAAGTTAAATTAAATTAAGTCATCGGGCCAGACGATCAGTGGTGTACACATACCCCGCTCCCGCTCTCTTTGGCCATAGCTATGCTTACGTTGCGGCTATATGACCTCTTGCCTGGTGGTTTCTTTTCCGACGGGATATGGGGCGATGCCCTGTTCTGGAAAACGAGATGCGCATCGCAGCGATTGCCACCCTGGACCTACCACCATTTGACCTTATACATGCCGAGGAACCAGTCCTCAGGTCTGCGGGGCTACTAGCACGAGCTGACCGAACATGTCCGGGTAGAATGATTGACATGGGGGTCGAACAGGGATCTCGGTGGTTAGATTGCGCGACCGAACAGGGCATATTGCTTTTTCGGGCCTTCCTAATGCGAGCCTAGCATTGTGGCACACTACACATGCAGTCCTGTGGATATCCATGAGCGGCTGAGAGATGCGAACAGGGGGCTAAAGAAAAAGAAACGTAAAAAAAAAAAACGCAAAGAAAAAAGAAAAAGAAACCGGACCATGGCGGGAAGGAATGGAACTAAACTAGACAGGGGGGTCCGCGTGGTATGAGACAACGAAGGAATAGTATTGCCAAAACGGGAGGAACAGAAGTATGAACATGATGTGCGCCCAGGTCTACCCCAGTCACAATACGTAAGATTGCATGAGGTGCGCGTGTGTGGAAGGTGTTCGCTCGAACGATGCTGAGAGTAGAGTCGATAGGATGCTGGATAGGTCGAATCGTCACGGATCGACTGGTCGACCCGATCCACTGGTTCAAGGCCGGTGGCGTTCGGCATGGAGAACTTCCACTAGCCCAATCAACACGGCTGCATTAATCCTGTAATGGTCTATCGTCCGAGACTCTCGACAAACAGTGTCCATAGCGAGTCGTAGTGCGACCCTTCATATCCCACCAACGGAGAAAAGGCTGAGAAGGAAAGAGAAGAGACCAGGAATAGCCAAGAGGGAAAAAAAAGGCCCGGTCCCGAAATGCATTTGGGGCAAGTAAAGCGGTCCTCCTTCCATTGGCGTCAATGAGTATCAGTCCCGGACTCCTGGTACTGGAGCAGAAGTACTTTCAAGTGAGTATTTTCTCGCTTGGAGAGTGGTCGCCCAAGACACCACAAGAGGTCTCTGCTTCGAGCTATCGAATTCAATCGAGGTCTTTCCGGATCGGTATGGCGTTTGTAGTGGAGATTCGGATGTTTCACCCCTTCCATTGCTGAGCGGTTCAAGGCCGGCCCCATTCTTTGCTCAGCGGCCAATTTATCCGAATCCCATGAAAGAGCTGGGCAATCAGAAATAGAACGTGGAAGTAATTTTGGCCCAAAAAAGGAAAAGAAAAGGAAAGGGAAAATATTTCAACTGAATCACACATATCGCCATGCAAAAGTACCCTTTGACCTCAGTGGTGGGCCCAGACACTGCCAGGCTCAGTTTCGGCCATCTGTTGTCGGAAGGAATTTTATGTCTCAGGCCACAAAGCATGTGGAAGATAAATAACAGGCTGGTTATGATGGACACATCCAAGGTTTTCTCGTCATGATGCTTCGAAAGAATCTGATCGACGTTCGAGCGTGTTGTCGTTGTGAAGAAACCAGGTAGCTGGAGCCAGGCGCAGGTTCCTTGGGTTGCATTGACGGGCTTACCGAGTCCTAGTGATTCCCTTGGCTGCAGCCATTGAATGACAGTGATTACGCTTCGACATAGCGCTTTCCTAGCCCAATGCACCGGGCCTCATGGGATTGCAATCCTGGTGTTGCAGGGACTACGGTGTGATTGACAAATTACCCTGCAATCTCGACGTCAGCCACCACGCGTCAGGATTGGCCGGGGAACAGACACTCGGGAGCTTATCGATGACGATCGCTCCACGATTCAAGGTTCAAAATGGGTCCCGTCCGTGCACTTTAGCCTTTGGAGTGGGCTATTCGTCTTTCCAGACAGCCGGAAGTATCTTGCAGGCCCTGGCAAGACTCAGCCGGCCTATTCCACACCAATTCACCATTGGTACCAACGCGACCCTCAGATCAACCAAGATGGGAAGTTTCACCGCTACACCCCCACGGTGGCACTCGGTGAATGAGAGTGGAGAGCTGACGGAGAGATCCGTGGACAGTGAGAAGGATGCCCGCCTGTTGCGGAAACCATTGACCAGAAAGTCACGAGAACCGAACACAGGTGACTTGTAGTGTTCGTCATTCTGTCGAGTGTGTGGATCTTTAGCTTGTCGAGAGTCTCGTTTAAATACAACTCGCTCGTTGCCATCCCCTCCTCAATTCCCCCACTCTCAAGCACTGGCGGTTGACTTCCCATTCTTTGATGTCTCGCCATGGGAATCCCACAGTATAATGAGACATCAGAAGATGCTCGTCCAGACATCACAGACCCAGAGCACTTGATTGCACGCTTTGGCCGTCTTCATGTCCTGGACGACCTCATCCGCTTAAGGGCAGCAGATCCAGTCCAGCTGCCCATCCTAGCCTATCCCAAGCCATCCAACGATGATGCCACCTCATATGAATACTTCACTGGGCAAGACCTGGACTGCATGGTAGACCAAACCGTGTCAACATTGATGGACTGTGGTTTCAGGCCGGTAAGTCCTCCACATATCTCTCACTTGAGTATGAGCGCAGCTCATGCAATCAGTAGCCCCGCAAGGATGGAGCTGTGGTCGCTCTTTTCACACTGTCTGATCTTAACATGGTGGTTACCTTCTTCGCACTGAGCAGATTAGGGTACACGGTCATGATGCTCTCTCCACGGCTGTCAGCCGCGGCGTGCGTATCACTCCTGGACATGGTTGGCTGCGACACAATCCTCTATGGACAAACACCAAGCCTCCGTGCTACGATGGGTGAGATTCTCCGTCTGAAGTTAATCGCATGTCGCCCAATTACACAAAGACCGTCTGTGGATGCCCCCCAAGAGACCGACGTCTTAGTCCTGCACCGAACCCGGAATCCAGAAATCCAAAAACAAAAGATCGCTTTGATCCTCCACTCCTCTGGATCCACCGGTCTACCAAAGCCTCTTTATCTGAGTCACAAGGCCATCATGACCCATCCAATGCGGGGTCCGGGGCTAACATCCTTCAACTCTCTACCGTGGTATCATCTACACGGCTTGTCAACGGCCCTACAGGCAATGTACATGAGGAGGACAGCGTATATGTGGGATGCATCGCTGCCCCTAACAGCATCGTCAGTCATTTCAGCGCTTGAGGCTGGTAAACCTGAATCTGTTCAGGGTGTCCCTTATCTTCTCCAACTTCTAGTCGATAGTCCCAGGGGACTGGATGCTCTGAGACAGTGTAAACTAGTGACATATGGTGGCGCGCCGTGCCCTGATGAGCTGGGTGATCGCCTCGTGGCGGAGGAAGTACACTTTGGCGGCTCGTTTGGTCTGTAAGTAGTGCTTGAGTCCCATCACGATGATACAGTTGCCTGACACACTTATAGAACGGAGGCTGGCCTGGTAGCAGATTCCCTCTCCCGCCCAGTAGGCGATCCTTTCTGGAATTATGTGAAGTTTTTCGACAATCTGCGCCCCTTTATCTGGATGAAGCCCATCAGCGGAGATCTATATGAATGCGTGTACCTCGCTGGTCATCCAGCACTGACAGCGTCGAATTCGGATGAGCCCCCAGGGTCGTACCATTCCCGCGACGTCTTCACACCACACCCTACCATTCCTGACCGATGGAAATACGTGACTCGATTAGATGATCGACTTACCCTTGTCAATGGGGAGAAGGTGTTGCCCCTGCCTATTGAGGGAGCCATAAAGCAAAGCCCATTGATCCAAGAGGCGGTTGTCACTGGGGTGGGCAAATCCGTTCCAGGTCTTTTGATCTTTCGGTCAGACGAGGCAACAAGCCTCTCTGACGAAGAGTACCTAGATCTTATCTGGCCTACCGTGCAGGATGCAAATTCCCGAGCTGAGAAGTTTTCCCAGATCTCCCGGGACATGATCGTGGTCTTACCTGTTGGTTCAGTCTGCCCTCGCACCGATAAGGGGTCCATGATCCGGGCACAAGTATATGCAAAATACGCAGATGTGATCGAGGAGGCATATACTAAGCTTGAACAAACCGCCGACGGTACCCTTGAGCTTGATCAAAGTAACACAGTGCTCATCTCATGCGAATCTGTCGAGAGGAGCTTGGATTTCCCATCTCAAGTCCGGATTCTGACTTCTTCGCCGAGGGAGTCGATAGCCTAAAAGCAATTCATCTGCGTCGATTGATCCTCCGAGATTTCAAGATCACGGATAGCAATACTATCGGTCAGACCATAGTGTTTGAAACGGGAAGCATCTCCCGCTTGGCAGAGCATATCCAAGCTGTGCAAACTGGTCAAGACACGGAGGTGGAAGACGAGGTATCATTGATGCCAGAGCTGATCGAAAAGTATTCAACGTTCCGCATGCACACGCCTAACCCGAACATCGTCTCAAGCAACAGGAGTGTAGTATGTCTTTCCAATGCCATAGTCATTGTTCTTGTTCTAACATCACTCAGATCCTTACCGGTGCTACTGGGTCCATTGGCGCGCACACCCTTTTCAGACTTTTGAACGATGATACAGTGTCCGCCGTGTACTGCCTAACCAGAAGGGAGCAGCCGAAAGAAGAGATCCTGGATGCTCTCGCACAGAAAGGCTTGGAGGTGATGCCCTTCCGCACAAAGAAGATCGTCGCTCTCAAGAGCGCCCTGGACAAGTCTGATCTGGGCGTTGGCAAGGATATGCTGGCGGAGATGCAGCGATCAGTGTCACTAATCATCCACACAGCTTGGCCAGTCAATTTCAACCTCCCTCTCGCCAACTTCAAGCCTCATATTCAAGGAGTATACAATCTCATCCAGTTTTCTCTCTCGGTACATCTTCCCGCCCCAGCTGTGGTATTGTTCTGCTCATCGATATCAACGGCTCTCGGTGCCCCAACGTCCGACATCAACGAGGCGCCTCTTGACGACCTGAATAGCGCACTTGAAATGGGTTACGGTCGCTCGAAGCTAATTGGAGAGAAGATCGTAAGCAACGCTCGGAGATCGGGCGCTCGAGCCTTCTCGTTGAGAATTGGTCAGGTCTCAGGACACTCAAAGAAAGGTCTTTGGAATGATTCGGAGGCCATACCACTGATGATCCGATCAGCATTAACCCTCAAGGCTCTGCCTCAGCTCGACACCACTTGCTCATGGCTCCCCGTAGACAGATTGGCATCCTCTATCCTCGAAATCGCCAAAGCTTGCTCGGTCAATACACTAGAAGATCCCCAGGGCAATGCGGCAACCAGCCAGCGTATTGATGACACTATATACAACCTGTCCAATCCCCGAACGTTTACCTGGTCCACTCTGCTCGATGCCCTGCGACGGAGCGGCTTTGACTTCAAGACGGTCTCCTTCGACAGTTGGTTACAAATGCTGCGCGACAGTGAATCCCGAGGCGAAGAGATGATCAATCCAGCCGTCAAGCTAGCAGATCATTACGAGGCCATGTACGGCGACGAAGCACCAGCACCAAAGACCTTTGTCACGGAGAAGGCCGAGCGAGACAGTACCACACTCCGGAACGGCCGTTTGAGGATTATCCAAGATGGGATCGTGAATAGGTATGCACAGGATTGGCTGCGGCGCTGGAAGACCACCTAGATCGCAACGAGTGTTTGACGAGACGATGATAATGTAGTTTGACCCTTAATGTTGAGGCTGTTTATACTTGTTAGTATTTATTGCACATATATTGAATACAACACAATGATACTATTGTTTGATTATAGCTTGTGCTGAGCGGGGGACATGTTGTCCGACCTCAACACCATCAAAGCCCTGATGAGGGAGACCCGTGAATGGCTTGCACAGAACCAAGAACCAAGAACCAATGATATTCAATCCGGGTGCCACCCGCGTGGCTGAAGAACTACAGGGTTTTGCCAGTAACTCAAGGCGTTCGGCTTACTGTTTCTGTGTATTTTGTTTGGTGTTATATTCAGTTCAACTGTCTATCCAACACAAAGTATCCAGAACGACACAAATTAATACATCTAAACAGAATCAGAAACGGTCTACGGGGGAGGAGCAGTTTAAACGAGTGGACAGAGCAAGACATATGTCAAGCCTCAATTGAATTGAATGGAAACAGAAAAATGTGGGTATTTGTAGAAAGCCCCTCCCCCCAGTCTACTGGATATGTCGCTTCAAAGAAAATGGTAGACCAAACAAAAAGTGGAAACATCCGCCGACTTAAAAATACATTGTTTAGGCCAACATAGCCATGATAACACCACAAACAATACCGGCCATGCCTGAGATGCCTACGGACTTGCTCGCACCCGCAGTGAAGACAGGACTTTCGGGATTAGTCCCGGTCGAGGCGCCTGCATTGGTCTCCGTCGGAGCGGTAGCCTCCTGGGTTGCGGATGTGGTGCGACTCGCGGAAGCTGTGGTGGAAGCAAAGCTAGAAGACGATGCAACACGGCTCGAGGAGTGGATGGTCCATGAAGAGTGGGAAGGGCTGCGGATGGGGGCAACGCTCGTGGGTGCCGGCTCAGGAGCCTGTCTCGACTCGGTGGCACCAACTGGGCTAGCTCCCTCTGGGGTACCCTCCTCGGTAGGGGCTGCGGTCGACGCAGCCGGGGGAACGGTGCCAGGCTCGATGTTGGTTGCAGAGGGTGGGGACTGTTCTGGCTGTTGGGCACTTGGGGTCGGTGCACTAGATTCACCAGCTGTCTCCTCGGCAGGAGTTTCGGGGGAAACATCGGTGGGAACGGGAGTACCGCCGTTCACGGTGGTGCCAGGCTGCGAAGCGACAGGTTCCTGGGCCGTTGGCGTAGCAGCAGCGGGAGGAGCCGCCGACTCGACCGTGGAGCTTGCCGGAGAGACGTCCGTCTCTCCGGCGCTGAGAGTTTGGATAGAACCCTTCTGAGTGGTGGCTCCGCAGATGGTCGTGGTTTCTGTCACATAGATGGTGGTTTCCGAAACAGCATCAGCACCCTCATCGCTGTCATCTGACGAAGGGTTCGCTGGAGCAGCGGTGGTCTCGGCACCGGCAACGCTGGTCTGCGGGTTGGCAGGTTCGGGAACTGCGCTTGAAGTGGCGGGTGCCTCGGCAGATGCCGTCTCTGGAACAGGAGCGGTAGTGGAGGTGACAGATGGAACGCTGTCAATTGTCTTGGACGCAACAGCAGTGGCGGTCTCCGCTTGCGAAACAACGGATGCGGTCGCATGGCCAGTACCAGTCTGGAACAGCTTGATGTAGTTGATTTCCCAGTAGGCTTCCTTGAAAGCGGCAGGGTTTTGGGCCACATAGTTGACACAGCTCTGGATAGGGTTGCTGGGGTCGCTGACTGGGCAGCCAGAGTCACCGAACACGCCACCAGCCCAATCTCCACAGAAGGTGGTATCAAGGATGAATTTCTGCGACTTGAAGCGCGCGCCAAAGTCGCACGTCCCCTGCAGGTGAGCCATCGGTGCGCCAAAGGCCGTCGTGTCGGGGTTACCCTCGGTAATCGACTTGGGAATTTCACTGCGCGCGAAATACCAAATCTTAACAAAACTCGAAGTCCATTCCATAGCATAGACACCACCCTTCTTCTCGTTGAACGGGGTGCCCGAGGTGCCAGTCTTGCCCTCGACCACACAGCCGACGGTCCCCGATGCTTCGCCACACTCGTTGGATGTCATTGTACCGGTCATATCGTTTTCGTTGGACAAGGCGCACGAACCGCTCGTATGCAGGACAATCTTGTTGGATTCGTGCTTGTTGACACCCTCAATGATATCGATTTCACCATCATAGGGCCAGTTAGGTCCCACAGACCAGAAAGCGGGCCACGTACCGCAGGCGCTACCCGGCATGTGCTGGAGGTCGATGATGTACAAACCCTCATCATAGTACTCTTTGCTCTCAATACGGACCGACTCTCGACCCGGCCCATTCGGGCTGAGCTCGGTCTGGTAGTCAACGCCCATGTAGAAACTACCACTTTCGGTTACCTTGATGAGACCCGAGCTCTCTGCGTAGCTCTGGTTGGTATAGGTGACAAATCCATTGGTTGGGTCGGCACCGCTGAAGACGTTGAAATGATCCAGAAACTTGTCTCCCTGCCAGGCTTCAATCAGCTGATAACGGCTACCAGAGCCGTCTGCGATCGTCGGAGTGATCAAAGAAAGAGCAATGGACCCTACGGTCCACACGAAGGATGAGGACATCCTGGTTTTGTGAACTAGTCAAGCGACCAGGCAAAGGAAGGAAGATAGAGAAGTTCGAAGATAGCAAAAGGGAAAGACCAGGAGATCTCAGATCTGATCAAATCCTGGAAGGGCTATAGAGATTGTTACGAAAAGGAATGGAAATCCAACCGTCAAGGCTGGCAAAGTTGGTAAGAAAAGAAAAGACTGTAAAAATGCAGACGCCAGTCCGCACCAACAAGATGGTTGAGAAAAGAATGTAAGTTGTTTAGATTTTAAAAACGAAAAAGGAAAGGGAAGAACAAAACACAGGAGAGAACACAAAATCTAAAACTATAAGAGCGCAGGGGACATCCGATATAATAACAAACGGAAAATCCCCAGTGGACCCTCCATCAAGGCCGGTAGCCCGTATTTTGTGCAGGCCCCTGGACAACCTTACCAGAACCTTTACCAGAATGGTCATCGTGGAGAATTGGCAACCACCTATGACGGTGGCTAGATCCATACAGCAGGCACCGTTGGGCCCACGACTCACCAGGCGGCTGTTCATGCCTTGTCGCGCCACAGGGGTCAGAGCGAATCAGTGTTCATACTAGGCTGCAGACAAAAATGTCTAGCTTGTCATAAATTCCGGAATTCCGATGGGGCGCCTCCATTCTTCACTCAAGCATGCTAGTGGGCCGGCCACAAAGTTACATCGCCAAGGACCTGTAGGGAAGAGCGGTCGGCGATTCTGAAACGTGAACATCTCCTGAGCGGGGAGAGTATGAAACACAGGAGGCGCCTATCTTTGGGGCTCAAGAGACACGGCTGTTTCTGCTGAAATGGCACAGTACCCATCGCAGTGAATTTGTCATTAGCTTCATCGTTCTATGTCTGAGCAATGTTGTGTTGGTAAGGAACAGTGAGATGGGTTGTTGTTCATTCCCAGCGTGGTGTGGTGCCTGGCAACAATCCATTTTCGAGGCACGCAGAGGCTTCCCGAGAGACGGTCGGATCAACCACTGACAGCTGCGGAAGAGCCAGCCGATCTGAGGGGCATGTCCAAACCTCATAGGCGGACGAGATTTTGCAACGGACGGGCTCCAATTTAGTGCCTGAATTTCTCGCGTCGGCTATGTGGACTGGACCAAGTTCTAGACACGCGGTGGAGCAAGCGTGGCAACGGCGTAGTTGCTCCGTGTGGACTAGGCCGATAAGGAGGATGGGTCGTCGACCGATAGATACGGAGTTCATTGCACAGCGAAAGCCAGCGAGAGAAAGAAAGGAGGAGGATTTCTTTGTGCGAGACAGGAATGTCATCTGACTGGCTGTGCCTTTGCAAACAAACAGCAAACAAACACAGTACGGCCGACGAGATCGTCCACTTCGGCAGCTTCCATCTGTTCTTTTTCCATTTTTAACTCCGACCTTTGTTTGACTAATGAAATGAATGCTCTTTGTGATGTTTCCGTATAACCCGAATGCATGGATTAATCTTTCATAATTTCCCGAATGATCTGCTATATTTAATTAGTCCAATCTAACTGTCAGACTAGCTATGAATTTTCCCTATTTTTATCTCTCTATCTATCTATCTATCTAGAGTCTGGCAACGTTGATATTAGGATCAGGAACTTCCCGTCTGGTCCCACGGATCCTTCCGTCTTTTCTCCGAATCATAGACTTTGGTGGCGGAAAACTACTGAGCATTCTTCCATCCGCTTATTTTAATTCCCTCCATACCAACAAAGGGGGGCGACGACCCGTCATACCGAGCGGATGTGATCCAATCTCGCATATGCCATATCAAGCAATGAGCAGAGGCACAGCAGTATGATTGGTACGATTATCACATCGTCTGCGAGGTGGGCTGTGAGACTCCGAGTATCTCGACTCCACATGGATGCCGTCCTTGCCCTCTCACCAACCCGAATCTCTATATTCATTAAGTAACATAGTAAGACCATTAACGACAAGATCATCCTTCCATTCCTCCACTTTGGGCTGAGACCATCATCGGCTTTGTCATAAAATCCGAATTTCACCGTGTAACTTGTCCTACGAAATCCTGCTAGTCGTTTTGATATCCTGGATTAGCCGAATATGTCCGATTTAGGCAAATGTCTACACGCTACATACTCCCAGCTAGTCGGAGCCCATAGCTGCTCAGCGGACCACATAAATCTGCCCGAAATAGAAATCGTCTGCTATACGTGAAACAAACTATTGATATGCCTCGTGGCTCGCCGAGCTAAATTAATAAAAACGGCTCCTTATTAGGTATCACTTCCTCTGTGGATAGCGAATTAAACTTAAGGATATCTTGGTTTAACGCCCCGTTGTTTTTATTTAGATGTACAAGTTACTTTGTGGAGATATCGAGTTAGGCAGAACGGCCACCACCAGATGCAAAATTAAGCTGCCGTGCGAGAGGTTGACCTTTCTTTGTATAGAGAGAGAGTCCTACGCCATATCCGGCTTCTTAATCTCAATCACTCAATTCCTCGTGTCACTCGATCTGCTGTCAATCACTTCGGAAATCCTCCGTTCACTCATATCAGATTGAGATCGCTAGATAATCCGCCAATGACAACCCAGGAGATCAATTTTATAGTATCATCACAGCTTTGCAGCCCGCACCCTCCTGCCTGTATCAATTTCATTCCACCACGGGTAGTTCGGTGGCGCGTGTTCCAACGTTGCCGTGAAGTTGGGCCTTCGCTTCTCTAGAAAAGACTTCGTCCCTTCTTGCATGTCCCTGGAACGCGTTAGGATGCACTAATGACTGCTCTCAAGGAGCCATAGATATCCCACTAATTCAGAAACAAATACATACCTCCCATCAAACATATGATAGATCACCGTCGAATCAACAATATGAGCTCCCTCGGCGGTCCCGGGATTACGCCACATCAACGCATGATTCAAATGCCACGCTAGTAGACTAACATTCTCCGCAATCTCGGTCGCCAACTCCAGCGCACGAGAGAGCACCTGCGCACCATCGGGTCGAGTCTCTGCAAACAGGGACCCGAAATGCGGCGATGTGGGCGGCAGGACATGGCCGGTGGTCAGCAAATACATTGCGTGCGAGTATCCAATCAGACGGGGGAGGAAGAACGATGAACTGGATTCCAGAGTTAGCCCGCGACGGGCGAAGACGAACCCGTACTTGGCCTGCTCGCATGCTATACGGATCGCGCAGGGTAGCGTTATGGCGATGCCTATGCCGACGGCGGAGCTTGGAGGGCGGCGATGGTGGGCTTGCGGCATCGGTAGATGGCGAGGGCCATGCGACCGCCACTAGATGCTTAGCATGTCTGTATCATGTTTTGTGTTTCGATACTTACGGGTCGCGAAAGTCGAGTGGTCGCTCCTTGGCCGGTTTGAACGGTTCCTTCAGGTCGGCACCGGCGCAGAAGATCTTCCCTGTTGCCGTCAACACGACGACCTTGACTCGCTCGTCCACGTCAAACAGTGGGTACAGCTTCTCGAAGGCATCCATGAGATGTGTGGAAAATGTATTGTTCTTGTCCGGTCGGTTCAGTGTCACCACCACTACTGGTGTCGCTACTGGGACACCCTCCGGATGATGCGAGACCTTGACATCAGTGAGGGGGAGTGTCTCGTAGGACTTGGGAATATTAAGAGGCGGAGCTGGTATCATTTTGGGAGTTGAATGTTTCACTGCTTCTCCTATGCAAATGATTCTAAGATTACTATCTGGTTCAATCGTGAGTATGACGTACACCTTCTCTCCCCGCTTAACTTCACCTCCGATACACATACCAAACTATATAGAAAGTAAATATTCAGATATACACAACTACAACTTTGAAAACATGCTCTCCTTCTCCGCCCGAACATCCAACTCCTGCGTCCACGTACTCCTCGGCTGCGTATACAAGAACCAATAAATCTCCGCCAAATCTCGAGGTTGCATAACATACCGATGCATCTCCTGCAGCTTCTCTGATTCACCCTCCCTCTCCCACTTCTTCCGCAACCACCCCCCAATAATATCACTCTGGACGGGCCCATCGACAATAAGATGCGCCGCATGAATACCCTTACTCTGAAACTCCCTAGTAATAATCTGCGACAAGGCGCGAAGACCAAACTTCCCCGGCGAGAAACTACTCAACCCGGGACTCCCGCGAATGGATCCAGTCGCACCGGTGAAGATAACAGTGCCCTCCCCGGCGGCCAACATATCAGGGAGGACACACTTGGCGGCAAAAAAGGCACCGAACATATTGATGCGGGTAAAATTCTCGAATTCCTCCGAGGACGTCTCGAGGATAGTCCGGGGACGAATGCGTCTCGACCCGGCATTGTAGATTAGCACATGGACGGGGCCGAGATCTTCCCTGATGGAGGTGAAGGTCTTGATGACGCTCGATTCATCCCGGACATCGGTGACGTAGTATTTTGCCGAGCCGGGGTAGGACTCGTTGATTGAGTCTTGGATTTTTTGAAGTTTGTCTTCTGTACGGGCGATCAACGCTACGCTGAAGCCTTTTGAGGCGAAGTGGCGCGAGACTGCTTCGCCGATGCCTGGGCCGACGCCTACTACGGCCAGTACGCGGTTGTTCTTTGGGTTGTGGGACATGGTGGGTTTGTGTTATTGTTGGTTTCTGGGAAATTGTGGGGTGCGGGGATGGTCGTTGATATATATACATTTTACTTTGGAGGTTAATTGTTGGATTATATGATTGTGATCGGCTCCGACGAGCCGAGGCTGGTGATTAGTAAATCGTTACTGCAACACCACATCTTCATGAAAGTTAAAAATATCAATCATTAACGAAGATGGCTAGATTGTTTTCTTGTCAGCTGTTAGGATTGCATTTCCCAATATCTTTTGCGCACGAAACGAAATATATTGTGGGGGCATCTTTGATATATATTTTTCATGTAACCTATGTTGAACTTTGAACTACCTATACATATACCCGTTTCTGTCATAAGAGAAAAATAAACAAAGGAGAGGAAAGGAAGTAAAATGGAATAGAAGAAGAAGAAGAAAGACAGCCAACCTCTCTCAACGCCAACTAAGCATGTGGATGACTTCCAGGAGGACCTCCCCGGAATCCAGCACACTTGGGATCAGACAGTGGAGTTTTTTCACCGTCACATTTACAGTCGCAAGCCGGATCAATCGCATATTCACTCACTGAGTGCCAACATTGCTTCCTGGAGAAATAGTCAGTATCTTCCCACTGCATACATGTTAACCAAGTGAAAGGGAAACTTACGTCAGCTCACAACCACCCTCAGAAGTGAAGGGTTTCCCGCGATCCTTGAGCCACTCGCTATAGGGCTCTCCAAGATAGTCACAGAACACCTCGCGGGGATCATTGCCGGCATGGCAATTTTTCTGTTCATTGGGTTGGGTCTCGTTCGGCATCAAGAATCCAGACCCAGGCTCGGACACGTATTGGGGGCCACCAGGGGCGTTCGAGTTGTCAGGGCCCCATCGGGGATCCAATCCGTTATCCTTCCAATCCCACTTTTCGTTGAACCAGTTATTGGTCCAGAACCAGGCGTAGTTATCCGCTGATTAGTCAAGGTTAGTGTGGAATCATCACGATATTCAGATTTGTGGGTTAACGCACCATTATACTTAACGCCGACGCTCGGGAGACTCCCCCGGTACCATGCAAGAACGGTTGACCACTCGGCACCGTAGACATTCTACACAAGTTGTCAGTCCGATAACAGGTGGTAGGGGAATATAGTACATACTCTTTCCTTGATCTTATTGTTAGGATTCGTTGCTCTTATGTCCATGACTGATGAATTCCAGTTAGGCCTGAGCTGTTCATGGAGGGATAGGGTAGAAGCTCACCATGGAACGATGACCCAAGAAGATCTATGTGAGTCCATTCATGGGCCAGCGTGTGCTCGTAGCTAACCAGGTCAGGTAAGCTTTTAGCAGACCTCTTCTCGCCATTTGTTATATCATTCAGGTACTTCTGGCGAAAGAAGTCATTACAGAAGTGTATTTCCCATCCTGTATCAGTATTTCCAATTATTATTCCAGGCCAGCAAGGTAAAGGTATGGAGGCATGACGACTCACTGTGCTTATTTTTTGCATTGAACGTTACCCTATTCAGAGTCAGCAAGTATAGATTGTCAGAGTAAGGAGATTGTATACATACAGTCCCGGTTCGGTATAGCAACGAGAATCGAACCCAGACGGGCAGCGATAGGTAACCTGATTGTCCCGCTTCTTATTATCTTTGCCGACCTTGCCTAGGCGAGGGAACATATTGACTTGAGTCATGACGTCTAAATCATGCACCGGAATTAGTGCATAGTCTTCTCATTTTCCCGGTGGCAACGGCTTACTATGAACTTGGAGGTAGTCAGCCCGATGCTTCTCGGACTATTGATCGGATGAACTGAGTTAGCAAACAAGAAACTGTTGATGGGCATAAACATTCTGCCTGAAGCCAGCACTTACAGCCCACCCCTCCGCTCCCGCGGGATCTGCGACGAAGAAACGCTGCCATCCTGGGGTGTCCATGGGCTTGGTAGTTCGCTTGGTCAACTCTAGCATCATCCGAGTAGACTCAACCAATATATCAAAGCGTTTACCACCACATTCCGTGAGAGCGGTCTTCCAGTAGATGCCTTGATATGCATTTTCAATGTCGGTTATGTTTCTGGGACTTGGCACCTTGTGAGTTGCGAGGCATAAGGACGCAAACAAAGCAAAGAGCGAGATTTGAAGCATTCTGCGCATGAGGTTGCTCGCCATCATACACCTATTGTTAAGAAAAACATCCACAAGATCAGCATTAATCAGGACCAGACCATGGGGTAAGCATGGCTATAAGAGTATTTCAAAATGAACCGTTCTCTGGGCGCTTAAGCCATGCATGGCAATGTGGAAAATGAAGGATCAAGGCGTCTATTGTCATTGGCACACATAATACCGAAATAGGGTCGCCGGGCGTCAGAATGCATCTCTAATGGAAGACATTGTTTCGGTGCGATTGCCCTGACAAATTTTAAACTCCCACCTCGCCCGTAATTGCAATACATGATGGCTCGCGTAGTGGAATAGGTCAATGTGTTCCGTCTCAACTCTAGACATTATGGTAAGCCTGAGGGAATCTTTAATAGAACGTCTACCACGAACAGAGAGAAACAGTGATGAGAGTGTACTGACTTCCAGATACCATAAAAGGAGGTGTGTCCTGGCAATTTCGGGTCGGGCAATCGTCTTGGCTTCTGAAGGGCTGTTTATTCCACCTCATTGGATACCTCTCTCTTTCTCCTTGGTCGAGAAACAAAGACTTGAGAAACAACTTCGTTTCAAATGGTTTCCAGCTTCTATTCTTAGCCAAGTACATTGAGTATTATAGTATGCCAGTACATGGTAGCACTGATTAATTAATTTAATCTCTTGGTTTGTTATGTCCGGTGAAATAACTAGCCCTACAGCAATCCACCAGCTGCCTGACTCCAATATGACCACCCGACTTCAAAGTCAATGCTTAAACAAAAAGAATCCAATCTGGGATCTCCCCTCAATCTACTGCTCTTGAGGCCGGTACTCACTTTATCTAACAATCAGTTTGATTTCCTATCTGCTGGGTTTCATCGAAGTACTTGTCAATCAGAGGTAGTGCAAGGCACGCGGCACCTTAGGCTATACTGTGCACTACTTCGTAGGTTCTAGAGAGGTATCTCGCGGGTAATATTGGTATTTTGGTAAAAAGGACTTTGTATCACCTGACCCCTGGATTAGGTGCCTTATACCATCCACGGTTTGTTAATGTTACTTGTTTACCCTAAACAATTACTAATAATATCAACATCTGTACCTACCCGGCTTTACTGGCCTACTCTACAGGACTGACCTTACCCGATGAGCGAGCACACGATTAGCTAATATGGCTACATCGAATCAATTCTCGCAAGGTCTTATTGACCTCTGTTGGTCTGGAGCGTCATTTGAGCTTGTAACCCCTCAAACAGCTGTTTGCTCTTCTGGAGTAACACGTAAAGGTAGAGCCCCCACCTCGGTAGTTGGAAATATGAATACAATTTGACTTCTTCACTCGGATTGAATGATTTGTCCATGCCCTAGGGGTAGAATAGGCAGCACTGGGCGATCTTGCCCTAAATTCCTTAGATCGATTAGCACTATGGAGTGGGTACAGACTATACTCAGATCCATGGATGCCATTTGCCGTCACGATTCGCAAATACGGAGGTTCATGCTTCAGTAGTTTGCAGCTTAGTACTTACACCGGTATACCCTATGCGGTCTGGTATCTTGGCATATCACGAATCATGAACCCCCCAAGCGATGAGATAAAAACCATACCACCAAATCCCGAGAGAATGGTTAAGATTCTATCGAACATCGAATCACACTAGAGTGCTGGCTCCTCCTTCCACCTCAAAAGGAACCCAGCCCCCATCTGGACCGCAATAATTGCAGCAAATAGGTCATCTGACCAGGAATTCAACCTCTCATTCTGCAGTGGATATCCCCACCATCACCGCCACGTATCTGATCTATGAATCGCATTAACCGTGAGTACGACTAGCGTGGAGTTCTTCAGGCGCGATGCATCGGTAAATCGCCTGGCCGCGTCATAGGGTGGATTAGGGCTGTGGGGTAAGGCTGACTAGAAGCTCCGCTGACTTAGCAAGATCGCCACCATTGCTCCATCACGATGGGACCAGCATCACGACTCCAGGGGGGTCTATTGCGCGGCGTCGTACTTTATGGTTATAAAAGGTGCTTGCTGCACCCTGCACTGGAAGGTAGATAACTCTATCAAACCTACTTTCCTCTGTCTACCTCTCCAATCTACCACAATCACAAATATACCCAACTGAAATAATGGGTCTCTTTCACCACCACCACGACAAGCACAACAACGGCCCTCAGGGTGGTCCCGGCGGCCCTAGCGGTCCTCCAGGAGGTGGCCCTGGTGGTCCTGGCGGTCCTGGCGGCCCCGGTGGTCACCAAGGAGGCGGTCCTGCGGCCCTGGCGGTCATCAAGGA